AACATTCAAATTCTTTGAAACTCTTAATGTTTAAATTCCTTTGAAGCAAAATTTTATTTCTTAAAAAAGAAATAGGTACAATTAGCAGCCTATTTACCACACTAAATTTCTTTTACAAGTCCTCAACTACATACATTCAGTCCCTAGGGTTCTCTTAGGATAGTCAAAAACAATGCAATTAAACTGCTTCACTTTAGTTTTGTGGTTTCATCCTTCCCCAGTGTTGTATTGAACTTAGGATGAATAAAGGAAACAAAATTTCTCACAGAGAGTCTTACCATAGTACTATCACTTGAAATTAAAAAGTAAAATGGCTGCATAGAAAGAAGGCAAAACAACATTTGACTCAGTTTGCGAGAACTGTTTGGTTATTTGTTATTACCCATTTAAAGATTAATAATTGAGGAAAAACATTCTTAAAAATCAGTTGCACATCATTGCAAAATAACATAGTTGTAATATATGTGACTCACTAGGAATCTAGTAAATGGCTTGTAGCATGTGTTGGATGAATGTAGTTAAGGATATGTATTAGGTACTCTGTCACATTATGGCAGAAGAGGAAATGTTACTAGATGGGAATGGGTTCCAAAGGTGCAGCCATTGGGGACTGGTAGCTCACGATCAGTCTAAAGATGGCAACAGATATAGAGGTTTGATGCCTTTCTTAGCCTCTAGCTTTCACTCATTCTATTTTCCAAGATCCTCAGGAACATAGCCCCCTGCATTTGAAAGGGGCGCTTGGGAGGAAGGAAGATTGCAATGGTCTAGCCTGTGGACGTGGGTATAAGTTAATCACTGCAATACTTCAAACAGAAAAGTCAGTTTTCCCTCTGGCTAGCTTGTTTCATATCCACTAAAAACCCAGCCAAAAGCCTGAAAACAAAAAGTGATCTTTCAGAAATCTTCAGTGTAAAGATTAAAAGACAGTTGTCACCTCTGACTCTCAAATCCAGTGCTGCAAGATGACAAAAAAAGTCACAATTCAGTTTAGAATTCAGCATTTAGAATTCTTCTCCAACACGGGATTTTGAACAATTTGTGAATGTCTGAAGCAGTCTTAGCTTTGGATTACATCTTAAAATGGCCTAAAATCCACAGTGCTTGGGATTAAATTTCAAAACTGAATTATTACCCAATGTCTGAATTATACAGGAAAGGAATAGCTTTCCTTATCCCCAAAAAAATTCCTACATGGATGTGGATAATTAGTCACCGAGTTCTTATTTTCCTTTAGTTATTCAGGTGACTGACAGAAAAGCTCATGACCATCCATAATTCTCCTCACAACGTTCCCAGCAATGAGCACAATTATCAAGGTTGAGGATACAATCTCCCTTCCAACTGGTTTACTGGGCATTAGAAGGTCAAATGACATTGAATACTTTAAACGTTTCAGTAGATTATTCAGTAGATTAATGACTAACTCATTATAAAGGCACATTCCAAATACGGTCGGATTTTATGCTGGTGGGATTGTGGGCTTGGTGATGCAGATCTATGTGATATTCGGGACCTCAGATTGGCAATAAATTTGAGGAAAACTTGCATTATTATCTTAGGAACTTAATGTCAATGTAAAGCATTTCAGCTTTTGTACAGATACTAAATTTGTGCAATAAATGAAGTATGAAGACACAAGACTCCAAAACAAGGCAGAACAGAACTCTCACCTCCATAGAATGTTACCCCGGTGTCAGATCAGACCCCCACCTTGAGATTCAAGGTGTATATACACTAGAAAGTCAAGGTCACTACAGTCTTACCAGACCGTAGGGCTGCTCTCTCATTAGACAGAGTCAGCAGATGGTGGTTTAGTCTGAGGATTGTCACATTTCAGGTGATGGGAGGGGTTCAGAAGGTGGAACCTTCATGGTGATGTCAGCTGGTGTGGGAATTGAACCCGTGATGTTGGCATTACTTTACATCACAAACCAGCTATCCAGCCAACTAAGCTATTTAATCTCCAATTACTGGGTCAACCCGAACAATCTCAGTTGTACCGTGAATGAACTAAGAGATTCGACATTCATCTCTACTTGATTTTGTTTTGTTTTACTCAGTAGCTTGCAAAGAAATCTTTGTCTAATACAGCGTTTCTTTAATTAGGATGTAGAAATGAGACTGTGTGAAAATTGAACACAAGTGGGACATTGGCGTTTTGAGGGAGGGGATTGCATCTTTAAAAAGGTTTGCATGCGTCATGGAAATAATTATTCAAGTAGGGAATGACAGGGTTTGAAAATGGCAGTCAAACACTGATTGGCTGGGATGCAGAATGATGTTTTTGGCAGAGTGTTGCAAGTGACAGGTCATTATTAGATTTCATGCTCCTCAGTGTGGAGACTCTTCCGTAACAATCGGGTGTCTGAATGTTCTATGGGTGCTGCCACCAGATTAAGGTTCTTACCGGGGTTAGAGAGGACTATTTTAACCTCTCTGTCACAGTAGCTGCGTCCCTAACTCTGAGCCAGGAGGCCTGGGCTCAAGACCCATCTGTTCCAGAGGTGAGTCATAATGTCCCTGAAGGTTGATTAAAAATACCTAAACATACACTGGATCCCAATTTAAGTCATTTGAAATTTCTGTTGCATCAATTGACAAAAAAAAATTCTCTAATGTAAAGATTTTAGTGAAAGCTTGTATGTATATTCACTGTGTGTCAATCTCAGTGCAGATTTAATATCAGAAACAGTGTGAAGAATACAACACTACATTTAGCAATCAGTAACATGCACTTTGTAAACAATGAGCAGTTAGATCATTTAAATCACCTGAAAAAAAGATTACAATTTACGTAAGTAATTCTAGAAAAAAACCTTTCCAATATACATAAAACTAACTCCCTACGTGACAAGTGAACATTAAAAGACACCAGTTTTATAATAGTCCAGTTAGGCCATCTAGTGCCTCAAAACGCACAAGTCAATAGTAACAGAAAGAGTTTTAGTGAAATCTCTAGCATAATAAATTAAGTAACTTGCATCTAAAAGGAGCTAAGGGGAGAACCCAGATCTGTGAAAAAGTGATACTTATTCACAAATTGCACATTGTTTGATTAAATCATCAATAAAACATAATAAATCCTTACGTACGATATACAAAAGTAATGTTAGCCTGAGTATGTTTATTCACTTTTCAGCCAATAGTCCATTGCTTGGTCATATGATTTTTTTTAAATGGAATGTGATTCACAAGGCTAAAGCTAATTGAAAAATGTATCTAAATAAAAACTGAGAGAACTGTGGATGCTGTAAATCAGGAAAAATGTATCTGTCTGCTTCTCCTGAATTAGCCAGTTTAAGGAGTTGATTTAGGTTAAATGGAATGTTTGACCAGCCATCACAATCTCATACTTGACAAAGCAAGGAGTGCATGCTTCCTCTTCATTTTCTGTTACTGCCCTGCTGGGACTCCTGCTGTTTTGATAATGGTCTGGAAGCAATACATTTAACAGCAATTCTCCGAGAAAATAATCCTGTAAAGCTATTAGCACAATATTAGTGCCCATCTAAACACACACACTGCGCCAGCATTGGGAAAAGCGGGGGTGGAATCAATTAAAGGTAAAATTAATCAAATAGCAGTCGAGCCCTTCCAAATATGAGAATCCCTAGCTCTGTTGGCACAGCGAATGACAAAATGCAGTAAGGAACATCAAAAGCTTGTGCACACACATCCTGCCACGTCTTCACATAAAATCTTGCTTGACTCCATCGTCATTCTCCATTCCACATTGAACCAAATGTCTGATTCTGCCATTCTCAAACCTTATCAAATTGGTTACACCAAAATCTTGCAGTCTTCTAACAAAGAATATTGGCAGTGATAGATCTGAAACAAAAGACTTTGTTATTTCACTGTGGTTAATCTCCTCAATATTTTCTCCATCTCTGCTCCAGGTTAACATGCCCCATCACTTTTGAATCTTTCCATCTTTTCACTATTATTTTTACTTTTGCTTTGAGTTCTGAGGAAGGGTCACTGGACTCGAAACGTTAACTCTGTTTTTCCCTTCACAGATGCTGCCAGACCTGCTGAACTTTCCCAGCAACTTCTGTTTTTGTTCCTGATTCACAGCATCCAAAGTTCTTTCGGTTTTTGTTTTTACTTTCACTTCGCTTCTTTTTGTTTGGTCTTTTTTTTTAATTCAGCTTCAAGTATTTTCTCTCTAATTCTCAAAAAAGCTGCTGCACGCGAACACTGTTAAGAAAGGTCTGGGAGCCAGGCAGGCCACTCAGTCAGCTGAGAAGCAGACAGCAATTGCTCCTTTCAAAATGGAGCCAGTAAAAGAGCTGCTGAATTAAAGACGGACAAGGCCAACATGCACTGAACGTTGTCCAGTAATGTTCTGAACATCCAGCATGTCCCTAGAGAGAAAAATCAGGGTCTCGACTGCCAATGAGGAGGTGAGCCCTGCTGGAAATCCACCAGTGGGCATTGAGTGAATAAAACAGTGGCTTCAATTGTGATGTTTGCTGCAGTTGAGTAGTTTGCTACCGTCAAACTGCCAAATGACAAATGGCCAATTAGTTAGGCATTCAGTGAACATATGGTTTGGGAGAGGGGAGAACAAAATTGTAACCAAAAGTAATGACGGGATTAGAAAATTTTTAAAAAATCCCTAACTTTAGCAGAAAAATTTTGGGAAAATTTCATTTAAGACTATTTTCTAGATTATTTGGTTCACAGGAATCTTGCCCGAAACTTGAAATTCAGACTAAAAACAACCGATAAAAGCAAATTGCTTCTGAAATCTGCTACTCAGAAGACATTTCAAAATGTATGACTCAGTATTTAGCTCATCATTTAGTATTTCAAGCATAGCAGCTCTTATAAGTTGCAAATGTCTGATTCATGAATTTTTCAGAAGTGTAAATTACCTTACCTTTACTTGCTCTTCAAATAAAACTTGATACATTTCAGTTTTAATTCCTTTGGCATGTCTAGGTTATTGTGAGCAACACATTAAACCTTCTCCTTAAGAGACCTGTACATACCTGTATTCATGGCGATATGTGGACCAGCTGCTCTATTCCAGAAAATTCACTTTACCCCTGAAAAATAAATAGAATTCAGCTGCTTTATAGCAGTCCAGACCAAACATGGCAATGTAAAACAAAGCAAGAATCCTTCAGTGATTTGCAACTGCAAATCATTAGATCGTACGTTCTGAAAACCCTCCTACTTGAAGGAGATGGGTTCCTGTCTTATTTATCAGAATAGACTGGAATCCATGTTATTTAACAGGGATACAACTGTCCTCATTTTGGTGCCATGTATCTGAAAAGGAATGCTTATAAATATGACTGGTGTGTCAATTACTGTACATTATCATAGAAAAGAAGGCTTTATCTCAGTTAGTATAAATACTTACTATAAATCTCATACCAGTCAAGTGAAATCCCACACAGGACTAGATGAAGCAGCTTCTCTGCCACAAGAGTGTGAAACAATAACACTGTAATGTACTTCCAAACTCCAAGGCATTTGCCACTATCATGTCAATTAAGCATATTAAGTATGCCTCACTCCATAATATACATGTGGCTGTGGAAAGAAAATAAATCACATGATTTGATAAAACACACAATACTCCCAAGATACACAAGGGAAAAAGTGGAAGGCAGGAAATAAAAAAGGTCATGGAATGTGCTAAGTTTCTGCTTGTTTAACAGCACTAAATTATTCATTTTGTTTTCTTCTGTGTCTTAACTGACAGGCTGATTCTGGACAGGAAAGTCAGACGATGCAGTTGGGGTCCTTTAGGAATGGTCAATAGCACCTAGTAATAGAAGATGACGAGAGATTGGAACAAGGTGGATTAGGCCAGGGTAGAGAGAAGCAACAGGAGAGAGGAACCAGAAGTGGTCTTGGGCATAGGTAGGGAATAAGCTCAATAATGGAGAGAAATGAGTGAAGCAAATAGGGAGGGTGGTAGGGCATGATCATTTCATGGAGTGGGCATCAGTGTTAAGGGATATTGCTGTCAATGTGTTTCTTCATGAAGAGAAAAGAAATATTGCACAAATACTCAAGATTCATCTTTGGATGAGACAAACTATCCAAGTGGAACAACGATCACAAATCTGGGCAGTAGTTTAGTCTGGTTTTACCCCGAGATGTTCAGCAGTCTGTTGTTTCTACAATAATGTAGTTTGGCTACAAGTATTTTTGAGAGTCTCAATTTTTTTAAATCTGAAGGTTAATTGCAAAGCTGAAAGAGGCTTTTTTAAAATTTCATTTATGGGATATGGGTGTTGCTGGCTGGACCAGCCACTTCATGTTGATTCGTAGTCGCCCTTGAGAAGGTGGTGGGGAGCTGCCTTCCTGAGCTGCTGCAGGTCCACCTGCTGTGTGTTGACCCACAATATCCTTAGGGAGGGAATTCCAGGATTTTGACCCAGTGAAAGTGAAGGAACAGAGATATATTTCCAAGCCAGGATGGTTAGTGATTTGGAGGGAAACTTGCAGGCGGTGGAGCTCCCATGTATCTTCTGCCTTTGACTGTAGATGGTAAAATTGTGGATCTGGAAGGTTGGAAGCTAACTCAGGAGCTTTCTTGTAGATAGCACACAGTGCTGCTACTGAACATTGGTGATGGAGGGAGTGGATATGTGAGGATTTGGTGCCAATCATGTTGGTCATTTTGTCCTGGATGGGGTGAAGCTTCTTGAGTGTTGTCGGAGATGCATTTATCCAGGCAAGCTGACAGTATTCCACTACACTCCTGACTTATGCCTTTTGGCTTGTCAGGGGGTGAATTACTTGCTGCGTATTCCTAGCCTCTGATATGCTCTGGTAGCCTCTGTATTGATACGCCTGTTGTCTATCAGGAGCAGAAAGTTTCAAATCAGAAATTAGTCATGACACAAATTGCCAGTGGCAGTATTTGGAACCATGTACAAGCAACTTTGGCTCAGCATTCATCAACGTTATACTTCTACTACCACCAATAAAACTATTGCTATCTGTTACATTTCACTCTATTATGGCAAGTAAAATAAAGAGAAACTCTGGAGGGTATCAATAGCTCAATGGTGCCACAGCCACGACAATTTGAATAAGCTTCAATACTACATTTACATTATCTTTCATTTGAATTTATTGCAAGTGATCATAAATAGCTGCAATATGTTGCAGCCTTTACATTTATATGGTGGTTCTTCACAATGTTTCTCCCTTCCATCCAGTCCTTTCACACATATTGAAAGGTAATGTTCTCATCACCAGATTCTGTGTTCGAGTGCTTGAATTCCATACAGGCAAAAACATACAAACAAACTTGGTTGTTTAAAAACTAGTTTGAAAATATAACACTGAGAACAGAACCTAGGTACTTTGCACCCAAGATGGCGCTTTGTGTGATGACATTATACGCTTTTCACTGTACTCCTGTACCCTGTACTTGAGTACACGTCACAACAAAAAACTTAAATCTAAATCGAAAAATTCATCTTCCAGGCACCACATTTAAAACGTGCCCAGACAGCATTTTACCCTCTGAACCCAGGAGCATTATTCAAGCTCTGCTCATCACCTTTGGGACATCAGAGACCTGGGATATAAAGGCAATGCTGTAATTTTGGGATGCCTCCCTGAAGGTTCCCATGAATGCTGAGCGCAGGAAAAGGGAAGTGCTTTTCCACAAGGATGGTAACAACGGGCTGTCTCAACTGACACAGACAACCTGGACAGAGGGAGCTGTGGAGGTCAATACCTGTGGACAGCTCATGAAAACCTAGTACCAGAAAAGGATGAATGATGGTTTCCTCCCACAGTCCAAAGATGTGCAGGCTAGGTGGATTGGCCATGCTGGATTTCCCATAGTGTTCAGGAATGTGTAGGTTAGGTGGTTTATAGGGGGATGGGTCTGGGTGGGATGTCTGAGGGTGTGTGTGGACTTGTTGGGCCGAAGGGCCTGTTTCCACACTGTAGGGATCCTATGATTCTATGATCTGCACTGTAGTGCCAGGGTATGCACCACGGCCTACCCAAAGTTTTGTGCCCCTTATAGTGAGATTTAGCATTGTAAGGTTGCCATTGCACAGGATTGTTACACAGTGACTATGCACCAAGCATCTCCATAAGTTACCTCAAAAACCAATCGGTATCTGTCACTTCAGGTACTGGTATAGCCCAACTGGCAGCACAATGACACTGCCTCTCACATATCTGCCAGGGCTCAAACCTAAAAGGAGATATAGCACTGAGCAGCTCATTCATCAACAGCTCACTGTCCCTTCGGTACAACCAAGAGAACTTGCACATCACTTGACTTTTCAGCAACGGTTAGCACGGGACAAGACACTACCACAAGGCTTTGGGATACAGGAACAGCAGACAACCCAGATCATACGATGTTCTGCTAATTTCCATCAACTCTAGCTTTTTGATAACACTGAACCACCTTTCAGTCAAAATCTTTTAACTCCTAACTTCCCCTGCACCATGATCTTCTGACAAGCAACACACACAATCACAGCTCTGGGGAATGACATCTCTATCAGTATCCATGGAAGCAGGCTTATGTACCCATGCTGATGTCTCCTCATGCTGCTCTCCTTCTCCAGGAGTGGAATGTGCACAAACAGCGTCATCATGCAATGACAGGGGCGGGGGGAAGAATGCCTGGCATAAGGGTCTTCATCCCTTCGAGAAACAGGCCATTGAGCTGACAGACGAGCAATGGGAATGCTCCTGAGTTGAAGTGAGGGTCAATCATCTACAGTCATTTAATGAGCAAGCCTCCAAACAGCTACAGTTCGAGAAAGCCTTGGGCAAGGATCACAACATGAACACATCCTAATGGGCAGAATCTTCTTAGGTCCTGAATGACAAAGGTTCTGGCCAGAAATTTGGGACAATTACAGTGAGCATGTCAAATGAAGCCTTTCACTACGTCAAAAACAACCAACTCTCAGACACCAAGAAGAGATCCTCACAAGTGAGCAGCAAGAGGCCTATTAACAGTGATTAGTGTTCATTAACATCTCATTATTACTTAACCATAATATGCAGGTTCCCATTCTCCCACCTGCCACATAGAGACTAAATTCCAACAATTCATGATATGAAAGTCTGAGCAGGTACCTGGCAACTCCAACTCATTGCTTGCTCTTCTCAATCTCCATGTTGGATAGCCAGTGCCAACATTGCAGGGCATGTTCCATGGGCAATGACCACATGCACCCCATGTCCACAGACGTTGGCATCTGATACACACCAACTTCACCACTTCCCTCATGGCCCATCTCCGATCCACTCACAGTATGGTTCTATGCTTCAATTCAGCACTTTGGAAAGCTCAGCCCAACACCTTTAAACAAAAGATAGTAGGAACTGCAGATGCTGGAGAATCTGAGACAACAAGGCATAGAGCTGGATGAACACAGCAGGCCAAGCAGCATCATAGGAGCAGGAAGGCTGACGTTTTGGGCCTAGACCCTTCTTCATTTCTTCATTTCACTTCTTCAACTCATCCATGCATCCAGGTTTCCTAAACTGAATTAGTCCCATTTGCCTGCATTTGTCCCATATCCCTCTAAACCCTTCCTGTTCACTTCGCTCCATTGCTCGAGTTATAGATGCATTCGTTCATTCTCCCTCCCCAGCACACGTCATTATCCAACTGCGTTCCCAGACTTAATATCCAGCTACCGTCCTTGTTCGTTCTATTACTTCTATTACTGTCACTTACCCCAGTACATCCTAGTTGGCTCCCTCCATTCTCCATGATCTTTCCAGTGCCCCGACATAAATCAGTTCCATTCCCTACCATTCCTTTACACACATCCCACCCTTCCAGTGAACCTTTTCTGTAGTTTCATCCCTTGCTTTTTTTTTAAATTTCAAAAATATACTTCATTCATAGAATATCTTTATATAAATACATAGTCACTAAGGCAGATTGGTTCTGTACAGTCTGAGCATAATGAGAACAAACAAACGTTGCAGTTTGACTTTCCTGACAGTTCCAACAAACAAACCCAAGGCATTTCTCACTTATGCAAAACACTATTTACATATATTTGTGGCACCGGGACGGTCCGATAAC